GTAAAATTCCACGGGTTATTTCCTAATTCTTTGAGCTGTTTAATTGTTTCTTCATATTTCCCTTTGAAAGTTAAATAAATATTATAAGCTGAATCTCCTAGAAGTGTCTCCATATATTCCCACATATCTGTTGATTCATAGGGACTAGTCATCCATGCTTTTACTGCATCTTTTTCCCATCTTTCTATTACTTCCTGCCATACCTGAGGGTCGAATTTAGCTAAATCTAAAAGGGTTCCTTGATTATGGACTGGCTGTAATTGTATACTCATATCTAGTTGTCTACGCTTTCCATGAAACTTATAGCTTTTATTTGGGTCTGCGTGACTACGTCCTGAACTGGCTAATGGTCTTCTTCCTCCTACTGCATACTGCATTGGTTCTATTGGATCTTCTACAGTTGGTTGTGGGGTATTGGTTCCTGAGCTTTCTGTATTCATATAAAAAGTATCTTCTAGGTTAGATTGTTCTGGTATTCTAAATATTTTGCTAGGATGTATATTATCTTCTATGATATCATCTACATATTTCGTATGAAATTCCTGATCCAAAAATGACACTGCTTCGTCATGGGTATCTCCTCTGGCTAAGTATTCATAATATCTAGCATCTAGTATTTTATTCATGTCTTCTAGGGTAAATTTTTCTAAATCTATCTTATCAATATTATATATCTTATTTTGTGATATAGTTTTTTCTTCTGTCATTACGTAAAGCTGATTTATTTCACTACGATTATCTTGATTTTCTTCCCTATCTATACTACTAAATTCATCATCTTCAGTTTTTTCTGGTGCTACATAAGTGTACTGAGTAAATCTTACTGCATAATTTCCATCTGCTGTTTGGTAAATAAATTATCTTGAGGGGCTAATCTCTTTTGTCCTAGAAAATCTCCTAGTTTCCAATCTAGTGCTGCATTATCTTCAGAATTAAATTTTTTAGCTGGTAATGCTTTTATTCCTTTTGCGCCTAATAATTTAACTATCTGATCATTTGTAAGTCTATAGTGAGTGTTGCTTTCTGAGATTGCTAAACCTAAAAATCTTGTGCAAACTAATAAATTTTTTTCTCATTTTTTCATTTTATATCCTCTACTCTTTATTCCTATTTTTATCTTTTTATGAAAGGTCGAGGTTGATAGTAAAAAATCTGGTGTAAAATAAACTATTCCTCCTTTTGAATTCATATCTAGTTCATAACTACCTAAAATACTCTGTCCGACATCATTAAACCTATCATCACAGAGGCATACAAACACTTTAGTCCCTAAATTTTCTCTGGTTAAAGCCTTAACTCCTACCACTACTAATCCTAAATGAGTCATTTTAAGGTGTTCATTTACTGCATATTTATAGCTTTCTCTTTCTATTAAATTTAGCTCTATTTTTTCATCTTCTTGAGTCACGCTGATCATCTATTCACCATAGTGTTTAAATAAATATTGTTTTTTGTGAATCTTGCCTAGCTTATACACATATTTAGCTGGAATTAACTCTAACTTTTCTTTTTAAAATTTTTCTATTTGCTGTTCTACATCTATAAATTCTTCTACTTTAACATCTTCATCATCATTACGCTTTTTACTACTACTACCTTTAATTAGCTGTTTAAACATTTCTATTTTCTGTAAATTCTACACGTTGGTTTCCTAGGTAATTTAAGCTTTTCAAAATATCTGGCTATATCTTCTTCGTTTACGTGAGATTGAGGTTTGTTGGATTGTCCTTCTATTCATTTTCCTTTCTAAAGTACTATTTTTTCTAAAGACGCTAGACAATTTTCTAGGCTATGTAGTTGTTCTGATAGGTATTCAAATTTTTCACACAATCGAATTAAAAATAAAATTTCTATATTATTTTGTCTTACTGATATTTTATCTGATTGATTTATTCCTTGATAACTACTAATTCCTTCCGGGTTATTATGAAAATCTTCTGCTTGTTTTAAAATAGTCTGGTAATCTCTATTAGCTTTCTTATCACTACTCATAAACTAAGACCTTACAAGTTGTTCTAAAATTTTTAATTTTTGTTTTAAATTATCTTGAATTTGATTAATTTGTTCTATTTGTTTAGCTATTTGATTTGTAGCTGAAATTAATGTTTCTATTTCTAGCATAGTAGGAAATTTTTCTAAATTTAAATCTATTCTTTTTTGTAGGATAGAACTACACTGATCTTGGATATAATCTAGTTTTTTATCTTGATCTTTAATTATACTACGATTATTACGGAGATGATCTATAGATGAAATAAAAAGATTACTAATTTTATCTATGTCCTTTTTAATATTTTCTGCAAAATTTATCTGATAATCTATGATACTATTTAGCTGAGGATTATGTTCACTATGAAGCTGATGTATAAAAGTTTCTTCAAAATTACAACGGAAATTATTTTTATTTATGCTAAGGCGACGGTTATGGCTGCTGAGTTCTAAATCTAGATACTCTACTTTTTTCATATACAAAATTACCTCTTACTTTAAAATTATTACAGGCTACTATAATATGAAATTTATAACTAAAATCTCCAAAAATAAAAACTACTCTATTACCATAAGCAAAATGCATAAACTAATTTAAACTGTCCTAAAACCGAACACTGCTCTGATACCAATTTTTTTTTTGGGGTTGAGTTAGTGGTCTACCACTATTTGGAATTGGGCTGAGAATTATTTAATTAATTCTACAGTTATGCTAAAAGATCTTCAAGCTATTGTATGGCTAACTTTAAGGCTTCTTGTTTTATAGTTAACCGTCTATTTATCTGAGAAATTTTTAAACTATAATTTTCTAGAGATCTGTTAGAAGCTAATGATAAAAGAAACTGATATCTAAATTTTTGATCTTCTAATTCTTGTATTAGTTCAGTACTAATTTTAATTTTATTCCTAAGGTCTTCGTCTAAGGGCATATACTTTTTGATTTTTTGAAATTTAATTTTTTATTTCTAAGGTCTACGTCTGACGGCATACAAATTTTTGATTTTTTGAAATTCTTATATGGACAATATTTCCTTAATATTTCTACTCGGGTTGCTCTCATTTTATTCTAAAATTCTTTTCTATGGCAAAAACTATTTTTAGGAAATGTTTGTTTTCATTACATGTACTCCCACCTTGAGACTAGGTCTCGTTCAACATAGTATATTTTTATTTTCCATTTTTACTTTTCCCTTTCTGCCTACAATTCGCCCTCCAACGCCTAACCACGGCTCACACGGGCTCTTCAGCTAAGGTCACTCAGTAACAAAATAGAAGACTGAAGATACTACGAAGGTTCAAAGCATGTAATATTAATGAGCAAACAAGCATTTCATAAACTTAGTTTTTCCAAAAAGAAAATAATTTTTTAGAATAGAAGAGTTACCCTTTCGAAATATTTAAGGAAAAAGAGAAACTACTCACACTTCATATTAATAAGAAATATACTTACAAAGATTATATTACAGACTCTGAAACTCTGAAAAACTTAATACACTTAGAGGTTTTTGAGAGGGGTTGGAAAATTTACAACGCAGAGTGAAGTGGTGTTTTTCATTCTGCTTTCTTCGTTGACATGCAAGCCAATTTATACACAAAGTTGATACATACAAGTTGAAACAATCCAAAAACTTTCGTCAAAAGTTCTGGTAAAGAAAACAAAAAAGTCTAAAGGCTAAAACAAAAAAGTCTAAAGGCTATTTTACCTAGACTATAGACTTCTACATAGACTTCCTAGATTCATACAATAATATCTATGCCATAAATGCATAGATTTGGACGTAAGTTATTATTATGGATAAAATCTTATCAATAAAGGATTAGGATAATGATATCGGGTACTGCTTTGGGCCCCATCGCATATCATTCAATCCTCCTTTTTGACAAAATTTTGACACTATAATTTATTACAAGACACGTATAAAGATTTTCACAGCTTTTCTTTAATAAAGCAGGATAAGAAATATCCACTTTATTAAAGTAGTGAGTGAAGGAAAATCCTTATCACTAACAGACTCAAATAATTACAGACACAAAATATTTGCAAGGAAAATGCCTGGTAGCTCGAAGCTACCAGGCTCGAAACCAGGCTCGAAAATGGCTTGAGAGGAAGCTACCAGGCTCGAAACCAGGCTCGAAAATGGCTCGAGAGGAAGAAAGGGAGAGGGAGAGAAAGAGAAAGAGAGGGAGAGGAGAAAGAGAAGGGAGGGAGAGGAAGAAGGTCGGCGTCGCAGCTCCCCGCCCCGCCGTCGTCGCAGCTCTCGCCGTCGTTGTAGCTCCCGCTGCAGCCTTTGCTTCCTCCTCCGTCGCAGCCCCGCCGATGTCGCAGCACCACCGTCGTCTGCCCAGCCTCCCCTCCTCTTCAAACCGGTTTTTATGGCCCCTTCCCCTCCCTCCTCCTCCTCCTCCTCCTTCTTCTTTTTCTTCTTCTTCTTCTTCTTCTTCTTCTTCTTCTTCTTCTTCTTCTTCTTCGTTCTGCAAAACCAGGGAAAAAAAAAAAAACAAAAAAACAAAATCGACACCAAAACGACGTCGTTTTGGTGTCGAGCCGCGTTTCGAGCCGCGACATTCGAGCTACGTAGCATGATCGTATTTGCAAAATCCTTTTTGTCTTTTCTTTGGCGTGCATTTTTCTGATATCTGAGGAGAATCCTTATCTTTTATGGATTTTGTCTTCTTTTGCTGGAGCGCCAATTATTGATGTTGACCCTTGGAGTGATTTTTTCAAAGTTGAGTCTTTGTGGAAAAATTTCAAAATGTAAAGAGTCAAGAAATAATTTACTACAACATGTTTAAAACTAAGAGTAATGCTAGAGACCCCAAATATTCTACCAAAAATTTTATTAAATGTCTCACATGATTGTGGGACCCACACAATGTGGGTCCCATGTGAGTCCCACACGACATTTAATAAAATTTTTGGTAGAATTTTTGAGTGCTCTAACATTTTTGATTTACTAATAGTAATTGAGAGAGGTGTGGTCTAGCCGACATTTTCTTACGTGTCAACCCTTAATTGCTGCACTCCTCAGCAATTGGGTTGCTACGGTCACCGGATTTGCAGTTGCGAAATGCAGAGAGAAAATCTAGAGAGAGGTGTGGTCTTGAAGCTCAAGCATGGCTTCACCATCATCACCACCGTGGACCTGGCGATGGAAGAGAATAGGTGACTCCGATGAAATTCTCAAATTGTCGTTGTTCTTCTTTGAATTCCTCAATCCTCTTCGCATTCCGTTTGATTCACAAAAAGCTGACTCGTCTCACCACTTCCTCCCTAGATTCATCTTCTTCGTCATCGTCTATTTCTTCTGCTCACAATGGCAGGAAGAGAGTGAAGAAATCTGTAATACCAGAAACATTTGGGGATAATTCAAAGAATGAGGTCTCTGTTAATCGACCTCAGTCCCGAAAGAGGACAAATTTGAGTCTCAAATCGTTGCTCAGGAGGCGATCTTCGTGGAGAAGGATCTTATTTGCTTCGACCAAAGTTAGAAGCATCGTTTTGCTCAATCTCATCACTGTTGTTCATGGTAAGCTTTTCATTTCTCTCTAATTTATGTTTATAATAACTTTCATTGTTTCTCTTTAGAGCAATGGTTTATGAATTGTTTTCGAAAACGTTGTCAATTTGATTGTTGTAGCTGTAATCTTCGAATACATTGATCATATGGAAACATAATGTGGTGGATCAATTACTGAAACTTACCATAACTTCAAAAAAGAAAAAAAAAAAGAAAAAGAAGAAGAAGAAGAATATTCTGAAGTAATATATATTAGATTATTGACAAAGATTTTGAGACCGGGATGCTTAATTTTGAGAGTTTCTGTGTATTGGAAAGGTTAGTTAGAAGAAGAGGAGGCTTTAATGTAGTTGGTTGGTGTTGTATTACTTGCCACATGTTGCAATCTTATGTCTCTCAGTTGGGTTTGAAGAGCTTTTGACTGCTGCATGATTTTGAATGACCATGCGACTGAAAAAGCAATTGGAAGTACAAATCTGTCACTAGAATTGGTCCATTTGTTAAATTCAGGGTCATTGCCTCAACTGATAGAAGTTGTGGCTGCCAATTCAGTATTTTATTAGCCTTTTTCGTAATAATGGTTTCCATTTTGTGCCCTGGATCAATTTATGATATAGGATTCTGGATTAATGTATGGCTTTTAATTCTCAATCCAATTTCAAAATACAGATCCATGTATCTAACCTCAAGAAATTGGGATCAAGGTTTTTTTAGTTTAGTTGAGTATATGATGAGCTTGTTCTGCTGCGTTATCTTTGCTAGGCACTTAATCTGAATCCTATTGAAATTGATGCTTGCTTGTGAGCCAAATTCATATGTCCTGACAAGAATATGTAGATTTAGAGAGAATGGTTTTTGTCATGTTTTTCTCACTTTTCAAAATACATGATGGGGTTTTGAAAGAAATTGTATTGTGGGTTATAGGAGAGATATATCATTTTGTGATTTACATGGATTTTAATTTATGAATTTTTTTTGATTAGATATGTTGATACAATAGTGTCAAAACAATTCAAGTAAAAAATTGAATTCCTAATTATAATAAAACATAGAACAGCACTAATTCTGCCATCTTTTTTTATGGTTCTATTACCCCTCTCTCTCATGGTGGAGCCTACTCATGTGAGAGGGGGCCTGTCATGGCTGTGGTTCCCATCAATAAGGTTGTGGATTTATTGATCTGAAACATGAACATGTCCAAGTCTAAAAGAACTTTAAACAAATATTAGTACACGTTTGGACGTATGTTTGATACGTGTTGGAAAATGTCCGACTAGTGTTAGTGTCTAACATGTGTCGGACATGGACATGCCACCTTCTTGAAAATGCCTGTCTTAGGCCAAAACCTACTTACCTAAGAATGCATGGTATGTTGTTGCTTGCACATTCTTGACTTGTAAAGGAAGAGCCTTGCCTGTAAGTACTGATCATTTGTGCCAAATAATATATTGTTTGTTGGGTAATATTTTTGCATATACTGTAAAAACATTTTAGTGCATCTTCACTGTAGGGATCAATATTTTCTAAAAGAGTTATTAGTTCCTTGTAGCTAGTAACATTCTGGTAGTGAAAGAGGTCGAAGCAATCATGGATCCAGCAGCCTTCACCGTTGTGCGATTTGCAATGTCAGCGATTCCATTTATCCCTCTTGTTTTACATGCACGGGGTGATGCTCAGACCTGTAATGCTGGGATAGAGTTGGGATTCTGGGCCAGTTTAGGCTATCTTATGCAGGCACTTGGACTGCTAACGTCAGATGCTGGGCGTACATCTTTTATTTCCATGTTCACTGTAAGAAAGCTCATCAGAAATTCATTTGCACTCTAAGTTTATTAACTGGAAGTATATCAGTCTCTGAGAGTTCTTAGCGGCTCTATTTTAACAAATGTTTGGTGAATAAATCAGGTAATTGTGGTTCCCTTGCTTGATGGAATGCTAGGAGCCATAGTTCCTGCCCGTACCAGGTTTGGGGCTCTAATGTCTATTTTCGGAATCGCAATGATGGAATCCAGTGGGTCACCTCCTAGTGTAAGTATTGAGCTAGTCCTACCAGTTGTTCTTCCATGCATTTTGTAGGATATGCCAATAAGAAAAATATAGGAAAAATAATTTTTTTATTGGAGTTTGTTGCTCTGAGCATTTGATTGCGTTCAAACTAATATAAATTAGTCATGTCTTCCATCAACTCATTTCAGGTTGGTGATTTGTTGAACTTTTTGAGTGCTGTATTTTTTGGGATCCATATGCTAAGAACAGAACATATTTCAAGAAGTACTGATAAAGAGAACTTCTTAGCACTCCTTGGATATGAGGTTAGATAATTAGGCGTGCTTAAGCTGGCGCTGCTTCTTCCTTAAATAATGCAGTTCCATGTGAAAATTAATGTTCCAGCTAATTGACTTTCATTCATGGTTTGAAATTCTATTCCATGCAGGTATGTGTTATTGCTCTCTTATCAACTATGTGGTACTTCCTTGGAGGCTGGATTGGTGGCATCCACGAAGGTAATCCCTCATTGTGGACATGGACAATGTTTTGGGATTGGATGGCAGCATTTCCATGGTTACCTGCACTTTACACTGGTGTATTTTCAACAGGGTTATGCTTATGGGTAGAGGTAAAATCCTTTTGCGTTTGCCTCAGCATATAAACTTCTATTTTTTATTTGATTAATCAATCAATTAATTAATTTTTTATTTTTATGTTTTTGCTTTTTCATTTTTGTGTGGTTCCTTACAAATGACTAAACACAACTTACGTGTAAAAGCCTTCTGCAAACATTTGACATTCCTTTTTATATTAAAATGATAAAATCATGAAGCTTGTTTGATATTAAAATGATAAGTCTCATGAACATAAGGTCATAATACAAAATGCCATTGCCAACATACTAATGTAAAAGTATATAATTTGACGCATTGTTTAACAAATTGAATCTAAATCCAAACAGATATAAGTTAGTAAACAATGAATCAAGAGAGAAAGTAATGAAAGTTTTATTTAACTTTGATAGCAACTTAAATCTTTTAAAACTTGAAGATTGGACTTTTAAAGAATGTAGATCTAACATTTCTGCAAAAGTTCTATGTGCCTTTTTCTATCATTTCACAGTTAGAAAAAATAAAGAAAAAGAAAAAGGCTGAAAACTGGGTCATATATAAAAAATCTATTCAAAACAAAAAAGTAACAGTCACAACGGTGCTGTAACGGCGGTATAAGGACTGTTACAGCCTTTATGTTATGGTGGCTGCTGTTACGGTTGTGAATTTCAGTCACATCAGTTGCAGTGGCCATATTGGTAGCAGTGACCACCGAAACCATTACGCAACAGTTGCGGGTTATTTTTAAAACCTTGATAGAGTGGCAGGTGGGAAAAAATAATATGGATATATCCGGCTTCCCTCTTGTGAAACCCATTGACAGCTTGAGGTTTGTGTTCTGATAGGATATAACTTACTGAGGGCGAGATTTCGCACAGAAACAGGGAAAGAAGAGAAAGTTGAAATCAAGGCACTGCAGCATGAGTGTCTTAGTGGGAACCCCTCTTTTAAATCCACCGGCTCTCAGATGACAAATTTATTTCCTTCATGTTTGGGATAATTTGGCAATGTTTCTGAGATGAATTTGATTGATTATGCAGATGGATGCTATGCGTGATGTATCAGCCACCGAAACTGCTATAATTTATGGCTTGGAGCCAGTATGGGGTGCTGGTTTTGCATGGTTTCTTCTTGGCGAAAGGTGGGGCTTGACTGGATGGTTTGGCGCTGCTCTTGTGCTAGGTAGGATACTATTTATCTTTTGCTTCTGGGTTATTATTTTATGCGGATTTTGATTGTCAAACTTGACAACAAAATTGTTTTTGAGGTTACTTTTTCTCAACTTTCAGATTTTACATCTTGTCATCCTTCATGTTCTGGACACTTGTTCACAGCGAATAATTGAAAAGCAAACAAAAAGATCTTTACCTTGATATTTCCCAGCTATGAAGCACGGACACCTCTCCGAGGGCTCCGTACCCGTGTCAGACACGTGTCGGACACAGACACGCGTCGGACACGCGGTTGACACGTGTCCGACACTCATCAGAGAGTGTCCCATTTTTTTTTTTTTTTAATTTTTCAACATCCGGACACGTTTAGGACACGTTATAGACACGTTTGGGACACACGCGGGGGCAATTTCACAATTTACTAAATATCTTTGGGGTCGATTTGTAAATAAGCAAAAACAGATCCGCGATTTTGCCCTAATCTACTTCAAACTACTTCGAAGAGTAGAGAAACAGCAGAGAAAGGGTGAGAAAGAGAGCACCTGACTTCGTCGTTCGTCTTCGTCTTCTCTCCTCGTCGATCGTCACTCCTCGTCGGGCGTCTGTCGTCGGTCGTCTATCGTCGATCGTCTCTCGCCCTTCGTCGTTAAGGTACACCTCTTCTTCGATCTGCGATCTGCGATTTTCATTCTTCGTCGATCGTCAGTCGCTCTCTCTCTCTCTCAACTCTTCTTTCCTCAGACGATCGAACCCGTCTGATTTTATTTTATTTTTTTCTTTTATTTTTTTTTCTTTTATTCTGATTTTAATTTTATTTTTTTCTTTTTTTTTATTTTAGTTTAATTTAATTTTTTCTTTTCTTTTATTTTTTATTTTATTCTGATTTTATTTAATTTTTTCTTTTCTTTTATTTTTTATTTTATTCTGATTTTATTTTCTTTTCTATTATTTGAGTATATAATTTTAATAATGTATGTTTATTAATTTTATTATAGGAAATTTTGAAACAATTTTGTTTTGTATATTTTATTACCTTTATTTGATTTTTTAAATAATTTTATAACATATAATAAATAAAATTAATTATATATACTGAACGTGCCCCCAACGTGTCGTGTTCCTTATTTTTTAAAAATTTACGTTTTTGCGTGCCCGTGTCGCGTGTCGCGTGTCCGTGCTTCATTGTTTCCCAGTGGGCCTTCTATGGAGATGCATAATTTTAAGTGGAAACCTTAACTTCAAGGAGAACTATCCCAAGGAAGAAAACCATGATTCGAACCAATCACAAAATCCACTATAGAACCCACAATTATAAGATTTATGATGCTAGGAGTTACAACCCTTACCCCGTTCACCTAACTTGGAAATTTTCCAGAAGTGCTCCTTGCACTTGATCTCTACCATCATTCACCTAACTTGGAAATTTTCAAGAGGTGCTCCTTGCACTTGATCTCTACTATACAAGGTTTTGACCCAGTCAGCCTTCTCTGATCCTATAATGCTCCATGTAGCTTCTCGTTTTGATCTCTGTACTCTGACTGCTTCGCTACCCACAGACCATGGTTGAAGGGATCACATTATGCAGTTAGAGTTTTTATGCAAGAGCACTCAATCTAGACCTAAATCAAGCTAATGAGGGGATACGCACAAACAAGTGTGAGAACTCTCAAGATTGCTTAACCTGTTTTATCTCGTGCCTCTCTTATCCTAATCAAGAATCGAAGCGGTCCAATTTCCACATGCTCGCTCAATAGCCTTGTCGAGCTGGTAGTGAGCACACCTCTATTTAAGGGTTCTCACTTGAATCCTAAAGCAAGAGCATAGAAGGTGCACTAGCCCACTCGAGCTTTCTGTCAAGTGCATAATGTACATGCTCCTTTGGATCTCTACCGACAGTCCTTAGCTCAAGCACACTATCAAGCACAAAGTGAGCAGATCTCTCTGGATCTCTGCAGGTTTGCAGGTCCAGTGCACTCAAGATTGAGTGAGGTTTTGAGTGGACTCCTAATTCTTAAATTTTCCTTTTTTTTTTTTTTTTGTTTTTGTTTTTGACAATTTAAAAAAAATCAAAAGTGTAAGGAGACAAAAACATGTTGAGATGAGGTGCCTAATAGTTAAAATTTTTCCCATAACTTTTTTTGAAAAACAAACCAAACAAAGCCCAAAAAGTTTTAGAATTCTAATAAATGAGCTCTAATTGAGAGTGAGTCCCATTGTGATAGTGACGTTTGTGTCTTGTTTTTTATTTTTATTTATATTTTTTCTTGTTATTAGAGCTCATTAGAGTTCTTTCATGGGGGATTTGGTGATAGCCCCCTCACTATCTAATTTGTCTTTTAAAAGGACAAGAATTATATAAGTACTTTCAAAATCCCCTAATATTTTAAAACTTGTTTCTTTTACTATATTACCCTCATATCTATCAGCTCTCCTATTAAGTCATCTTCACTATATATTTCATAAAAGTAAAATTTTACTTTGTATGAAAGTAAAATTTTACACTGTATAAAAGTAAAATTTTACATTCTGAAACTAAAAGTAAAATTTTACTCTGTATGAAAGTAAAATTTTACTCTGTGTGAAAGTAAAATTTTACATTCTGAAACTAAAAGTAAAATTTTACTCTGTATGAAAGTAAAATTTTACTCTGTATGAAAGTAAAATTTTACATTTTGAAACTAAAAGTAAAATTTTACTCTGTATAAAAGTAAAATTTTACTCTGAATAAGAGTAAAATGTTACACTCTGAAACTAAAAGTAAAATTTTACTCTGTATAAAAGTACAATTTTACTCTGTATAAAAGTAAAATTTTACACTCTGAAACTAAAAGTAAAATTTTACTCTGTATAAAAGTAAAATTTTACTCGGAAAAATGAGTAAAATGTAAGACTCTACACAAAAGTAAAATTTTACTCTGTATAAAAGTAAAATTTTACTCTGGTTCTGTCAAATGAAAAAAACAGAGCAATAGAACCAGAGTAAAATTTTACTCTGATTCTGTCAAATGAAATTAGATACAAAACAACAAAAATAAATAAAAAACAAACAAACAAACAAAAACAAAACAAATTAATCAACAAATCAACATATCTAATTGAGAAGAAAAACTTCTAAAACTCGATCAACAATCACAAATCGCAATGAAAAGAATACATGTGTTCAACAACACTCATACACACAAATATATATATATATATATACACACATATATTCAAAACTCAAATCTGTGTTTAAAAAAATATGTATAACCAAACAACTCCACCAAACATGCCTCAATTTAGAGACGATCTGTTTCTCCTCGTAGACGATCTCCTTCGATTCCGGCACCGGAGGGCAAATTTTCGGCCCGTAGTTGATTTCATTCCCGATGTTCTTGATGAGTTCATCGTAGAGATCAGTTTCGGCATTGTTGATCGTTGGAGTTTTGCTTGATAACTAACTGGACTTGGCTAGGAGAGTGATGACGATGACGTTGCTATCATCGCCGGAGAAGAAGTTACCAAAATTGTCGAGAAATAGAGCTTCAGATCTGGAAGGGAAAGAGAGAGGAGAGAGACAGAGAAGGTGGGGAAGAGAGTGGGTGGAAAAGGTGGGAAAATTTAGTTGAAGGTATAATAGTCTAATAAAATATTTAAATTATAAATTTTGTCCTTTATGCAAGACTTTATAATTATGAGGGGGTTTAAAAAGTATAATTTTTTTTTTAGTCCTTTTAACAATTAAAGGAAGGTAAAGGGGGTTTATAGCCAAATTTCCCCTCTTTCATTTAGATGGATGTATCATTGTTGTTTACAAACATGGACTGGACCGTCCAGTTTTAACAGTAGGCCCATTTTTGGGGTCAAATTCAGTGATCCAAGTTCTTCATATTTTAAAGTTTGTCAAGTGAATTATTCATACAAAAAAATTAAATTAATTAGATAATGATAATCTTATGTTCGGAATCAATTTTATATGTAAAAAATGAATGATGAGTATAATTAAAGTATAATTATTCATTTTTTTAATACAAAGCCGATTCAAGCATATAGTAAACATTATTCAATTAATTTAATTTTTTATATAAATGATTTACTTGACGAACTTTAATTAGATTAAGTTAAGTTGGACATAAAATAAAATATTAAATTTTAGCATACAGGACCAAGTAAACAAGCAAAGTGTTCAATTTTCTGAAGAGGTAATAAACGACAGTCCAATTAGTTTAAGTTGATTGTAAGAAAAAAGAAAAAAAAAATTGAAATGAGAAAGCTGTTTGAAATTTTTTCTACAGATAACAAATGATAATCCAATCAGTTTAAGGTGCTCAAACAATATTTTAAAGATGATAAATGACAATGACAGTAGCCGAGGACGAATTTTCAAGATCAACAAATGACAAATTAAAACGTACATAAATTATAGGGAAAATCGGTCTAGGGTCCCTCTCTCATTTTTCGTAATGGAAGAGGTCCACAAAATTATTTTTTGATGTCTAAGGTCGTAAACATATATCAGACAAATTTTAGTCAAACCCATTGACACCCCTCTCTCTCTCTCCCTGTTGGACGATTTTTTCTCGATTATTTTCAACAACTCGAAGATCGATCGACTGTGAAATTCTCTATCGAAGTTTTTGACTATCGCTTTGCCAATGCATAACTGAGAGAGAGGGAGAGAGTAATGGAAAACGGTACATCAGAGAATGGTGTGTGCTCGTCGGAATCGATCAATGGAGCACAAGATGTTTGGAGTTGTAACCAATCTCTTGCTTCTTCCGCTGATCATCTTGTCGTCATGGTTCATGGAATTCTCGGAAGGTCTTTGGTTTTTCATTTTGAATTCTTTTGATTTAATTCTGGATCTGATAATTGTTTATGTACTATTATTATTATTCTTTATGTTTACTTGTTTTGTAATCAGCAATTAATTTCTTAAACTTGGTGATTTAGAGTTCAGATTGTAAATTCTGGATATTGAAGCCTTTTTCTTTGAATTCCTCGGATGTAGGTTAAAAAATATAAAATTTGTTCTTCTCAGTACATTTGCTCCTTTACTAATACTTAATTTAGAGGGCAATTTTCCATTTTCAGTGATTAGTAGATGAGATTCATAAGAATTCAGCTTTATTTTTTTTGTTAATTTTTTTTTTACCCTCATCTCTTGATATTGCAGATAGTGTGCAATTGGGTGTTTTTAAGAGATTGTGTTGATATTTTTCTTTTATCTCCCATGCTGAAGTGAGTAAATTTCTTCATAATTTTGTGTATTTTATAGAATCAATTGTTAATGTCTCCCCAGTTAAACATATTCTTTTGCTTTCGAATGTCTACTACTTGCTGTTTCAGTTATTTGCAGTGTATGTTACTGAAAATTGTTTGATGATAATGAAAATGAATGTATTCTTTTTCAAGTTTGATAGGCGTTCTTTTAGTATTTCCTTGACTATCTCTGTAAAAATTAGGACACTAGCAAATAAGAATACGAAATTATCAAGACAAACCAGATAATTTCTCTGGATCAACCCAATTGAATTTCTCTGGGTTGAAGTGTCCAGAGAAATTTCAAAGACCAAAAGCAGAATTTCTCTGGGTTGTTGTTGTTGTTGTTTTTTTTTTTTTTGGTGACGCCAACTCTGGTTTTAAATCCAGAGAAATTCTCTGGTGATGGGATTTTCTCTGTGAATATATATCCAAGTCACCGCAAAATCGATTGGTTCTATAGTGGATAGAATTTTGAAATTTTTTCTGAAATTTTTTATGTGATTTGTTCAGAGAAATTTGAAATTTTCTCTGTGATGTCCAGAGAAATTTTATGGATAGAATTTTCTCTGGAAATTTGATTTGGAATCTGATAAAAAGCTTCATAGTTTTAATATAGGGAAGCATTCCTACTTAAAGACTCAATTGTTATTTTTAATAAACCAGAGAAATTCTAAATTGTTATTTTTAATATACCAAAGAAATTCTCAATTGATATTTCAATAACAAACTAGAAAAATACTCAGATTTTTCCAGAATTTCTCTGGTTCTGGTAAGTTGCCATTGTTATCCCATTCTAATGTTGCTTACATATTACAATGTGGAATTTTTCCAGTTGAATTCAGTTGAACAATGTTGTTTACCTAATGAATCACAATGATTTGGATGTGAATGAGAAGAAAAGTAGAGAAACTCATCCAGAGAAATTTGGTCCAGAGAAATTTCTCTGGGCCAGAATTTCTCTGACCAATTTTCTCTGCATTGAAATTTCTCTGGGCCAAATTTCTCTGGTTCCAGTTGAATTCAGTTGAACAATGTTGTTTACCTAATGAATCACAATGATTTGGATGTGAATGAGAAGAAAAGTAGAGAAACTCATCCAGAGAAATGTCGTCCAGAGAAATTTCTCTGGGCCAGAATTTCTCTGACCAATTTTCTCTGCACTGAAATTTCTCTGGACCAAATTTCTCTGGACTGAAATTTCTCTGGACTGAAATTTCTCTGGATCAAGGTTAAGGGACCTTAGACATTATGAAAATATTGTTGAGGGACCTTAGACATAAAAATATTTGATGTCCTTTATGCTATAAAATCATAATACCAGGGACCTTAAAAAAAAAACCCCTAAATTATATATATATATACACTTAATTTCTTCAATTTAGCCCTGGTTTGGCTATCATTTTGAGGTTAAAAAAAGCAAAAAATAACAAAATATGCTAAATAAATTAATAAGACAAAATATCACATCTAATCCATTTTCATTATATTTTTTTTTCTCATAAAAGTCAAAAAAATTAAAAAAAATTCAAACCAAAAGACGATAAAAAAGTCAAACTAAAAATCTCCCAACACAAGAAATAACTATTAGCCAATGCCAAACACAGCTTCCTCAAATGCAACTGGCGCCACCCTCTTTTGATAGAATTTATATTTTGTAATGAAATAATTTGTTTTTATAGTCCATAATGATAGGTGATGGTATCCATAAGGTTATGTTTGTTTGGGTAGACATGAGTTTAGGATTAGATTAATAATCCAATAAAATTATTAATTTGATATTTGGTCAAATAATTAAAGTACAGACTAATAATCCATTCGGATATAGTATTCCACATATGATGGATTATTCAATCCCATAAAGGAGGGTGAGATATAAATTGAAAGATTAAGCCAAAGTCTGGATTATTAGTCCATAATTATAATCCTAACTCAGTCCAAACCTAAGAAAGGATACAAATTCATAGTCCTTGGACTATTAGTCACGAGAATGTTAATTCAACCTAATTCAGTCCGCCCAAACAAATATAGCCTTAGTGTGGTCTATAGACTGGACATGATTAAGACGGGCTATTGGGTGTTCATGAGGACAATTATTCGAATCGTTCATATGATAAGATTTATTGAATATATATTATAAAAATATTTAAATTAATTAAACTTTTATAAATTAAATTCACGTTTTTGTTTAAAAAAATAAAAAAATAGTATAATTTTAATAATTTCTTAAGATTATTATTTAACTTGATCACGCAATTATATTTATCCGATTAATTTTATTTTTTATATGTTATAATATAAATAATTTAAATCATTAAAATATAATCAAAATAAATCTGACCAAGTGTGACGGTACGCGTGATATCATAACCCGTATCCCAAATCCTCTCCACAACATCACACACCACACCACACCACACCACACCACGTGACCAAAACTACTCCAAGTACGGATAATGTGATACGCTCTAATCCAAGCGCAATGATTTAGAGCATTAATTTTAATGCTTTAATGGAACATTAATGACATGATAATGAGTAAAAAAAATAAAATAAAAATAAATTAAGATCAAAACATCACATCACTGTGAGTGGAGCCCACTACCAATTCATTAGAGCTAGTTTTAGAGCTTGAGAATTAGAGTTCCAAAGCATTTTTCCTAATCCAATTGGCTTCAATAACTATTAATATTTATAAATTTATTAAAATTTAAAATAATTCTTTAAAAATATGATATTTTCTTTAAATTCAATTGGACTACCTACCTTTCCCATTAGTTTGCTTTAAGCGTAACGGGCTCAGCCGACACATCAGAAATACCCCGGTGGTTAGGAAACATGAATTAATCATTACTCATTCCCATCTTGATAGAGCTATCCATTAACAGGGACAGTCACTCTCATAAAATTATTCGGAAATTTATCTCTATCATCCCTTATATGTTCTATATAAATCTCACATTATATAAATTAATTTCTATCTTATAATTATTTATTTAGAAAATTTTGAATGAATAAGTCTGAGTTAATAGATTTTTTCTAACAAGAATATTAGAGATATAAATTTTTTTATTAAATTTTTTACTAAGTACTCATATGAATGTAAGACTCATACTTATGGTAATATTTGGGGAAAAATGGATAGGAATTTTAAGGTGTCTACCCATTTTGATTCATAAATAGATGAAGCAAAAGAGGAAAAGGTAGGCAAGTAAAGTTTTGATATATAGAAAAAATAATCAATTTATAATAATGTGACATCGATAATTTAAATATAAAAAAAAAAAATCAATTCTTTCAATTTTATATAAGAATTAGACCAGTTATTTCTTACATTGGGGCTTTCTCACAGAGTTTGCTTTAATCATTCTATTTGCTCATTTTGTAGCTATATGTAGATTATTCGCTAAAAAATAATTGAATTGATCCAATAATTGCTTGCTTTATTAAAAATTAAATAACAAAAATAATTTTGAGAATATTAAATTAATTTCTTAAAAGAATAATCTATACATATAAACCAAAAATATAAGGGGGTTATTACCCTCCAGTGGTAACAGCAAAAACTTATTACAAAATCATGAAATTTTTTATAATTATAATTATTAATATTTATAAAATTTTCTACTGATTTGTAATTATATTTTTTAAAATCCACTGATTGATATTTCTTCAAAATATAACCAGATGGAATATTAAAGTATGTCATGTGCTGGACCTATAGGATAGGATTGGATAGTCCAATCATTTTCAATTAATTTGTGGAATGGTAGAAATTTTGATTTAAAAATAAGAAAAAATTATATTTTAATTGGATAGTGAAAAAATAGTTTCATATTCATACTGGTGCAAGTTTTTTGTATATATATAGGGCAAGTCTTTTTTTGTATATCAGAATTGTATAAAAAGAATTCTATTTTTAGTGAAATTATTTTTAAAATAATCCATTTATTCGTAATTTTGAAGAAAAATTAGTGATCACAAAGTTTGCATACAAATTTTTAAAAATATATTTAAAAAAGAGGAATTACACACCAGTGGTGTGCAAAAAAAATTAAAAAAATTATAAATTTTATAAATATTAATAATTAA